AACTGGGAATTCCTTAGGAACAAACCATTTTGTTCACAGAAACACTTAGGAGAGTATGATCTGATATGATGTAATTTTCAAGGGGCGATTTTATGTGTTCAGTGACAGTTGATGTTACTCCAGTTGCCCTGAAAATTGCATAGTTTATTGGCTACATTCAGTAAGCTCTTCATATCTGGGCATAGATTGTTAGAATTGTACTTGATGGTGTAACAGTAAGCAGTTTTGCATATAATTTAATACTTGCTTTAGGTTTTTGGCTAGACTTGAGAAATGATGGAGTGCTTCAGGGGAACTGACTTAGGGGACAACTTGTCGAGGTATTGAGTCCCTAGAAATAGGAAACTGCTTCACTAGTCTTAGAAGATGTCCCGTGTCTCAAACCCAAAGATATTCAGGGTAATTTTTCATTTGCCTGTGAACAGTAGGTGGTTTTCCCTCACTTAATTTTTTCTTGGATCAGGTAGCCTTTTTGATTATGAATATGAATGCACTCAGCAAAAATCCTATGCCATTTACTCTAATGGGACCAGAATTTGGCCCTTCTATGTGAATATAATTTGTATTCCCCATCAGAATTGATTTTATAATGGCTTCCTTAACAAGATAATCCGTCAAAGAACTGATGACAACTGCACCTAGTAACCTACTTAACAGATCCAGTTTGACAACTATTACACATTAGTGCATGTCATCAAAGAAGGGTGTAACTTAAATTAATATAGCAAACACATTTGATAGTGGACCATAGTTGCTTGAGAAGGTTGAAGGTGATAACTTAGGAGCAGAAGAATTGTTTGGCTTTGGAGTAATACAGTCTTGTGACTGGAATGGAGAAAACACCTACTGCTTATGAGGGTAGTTTGATCATCAGATTCAAGTAAATGCTTGAATTTGTTTGCTAATGGTACTTAAAGTTGGGTTCATAAAGGACTTCCCCAAGATTTAGTTTGGTTTGGTTCATGAACAGGCATATGATAGTAACTGTCCCTAGAGGAGACTATTCAAATTGGCATCTTCCAGTACACAGATTGCCTGTTTTGAGTTGACCAGTTCCGGCTTTACCAATTTTCCTGTGTCTTTGTTAATTTTAAAATAAAAGATCCAATTGTTAGTGTGTGTTTCTGTGACTGGAATGGAACTGTGGTGAGTGAAATATATTATCTTGCAAAAGATTAAATAGCAATAGCTATGGTCTTAATTCTGGTGAACAGTTCACATTAATAGCCAGGAAAAAGTTCCGTTTTTTCTGGATCCTTGGGAACATTTCTTATTTGATAAAACATTTTATCACGGGAAAATTTATTTTCCTGCAGGTAATCAGAATTTAGAAGCTATTTCATAAGAAATGCTCAGAATTATTCTGCATCTTATATAAGTACTACTTGCATTTAAGTATTGCCAAATATTTACGACATGTTACAAAGTCATATCTATGTGATCTGTACCACCTTTAAATGCCTGGGTTTTTTAAAGAGTAAAAAGATAATTAAATACAAACCAGATATTTCAATTTACATCCACTTCTCAGGTTCAGTTACAGGGAGTTTTGGATCAGTGTGACTGTTGATTACCTTACAGACAGGAGTGAATCTTTTAAAGCAATAGAGGAAATGCCAAAGTCTGTAAATAAGATGGAATGGTTGTTGCATGAAAAGGCATGCTGGGTTGGTCTGCAGGGGTTAGTCCACATTTAAGAAGCTTTGTTCACAGGGCAGAAGGAAGCAGAATTTGTTGGCAGTGATGCAGCTTCTACAAGCAACATACATTCCTGACATTTTTTTAAATAACTCACATTACAAAACAGCATAAATAAACTATCTTAAGGACACCTGCCAGAATGAGTTGAATTTCTGTATAGGATTTTGCTTGAGTGGTTATGTCAGAGATAGGACTTTTAGTTGATTCTTCTGTATCTTATATTTTAGCAGATAAAATCTTATTGTATAAACTTGAATCTTAATTTCACTGTTGTGATTGATCTAATGTTGGATTCACAATTAGTGTACAATAATACAGTATAGACTATTTCTGAAGTATCCCTTTAAACTTATTTTGCTTATAAAGTTTATTCATACTTTGCCTTCACTACAAGGAATAAACCAAAGTATCTATAATAGCCATCTTTCTTTACAAGAGTAACAGCTTTTACCAGCAGTGTTTTTTGGTTTGGTTTGGGATATTATTGTATTTTTTTAAAAAAATCATTAAATGAAATGAACTGTACTGACAAAATTACCTTCTTTCTGCGGTAAGAGCTGATGGTTTTGAGCATAGGAGCAAAACCATAATCACTTGGAATCAAACCCAATTTCTGCCCTAAACCATTTTCACTGTCAGCAGATTTCAATGTTAAAATTAATGAAATAGTCAAATCTCTTTCTGATGCAACAGTGAAAAATTTGGTGAGAGAGTAACATACAAGATGAAATCAGGTGGCAGACCTGCAGGGTGCTAACCTGGTAGCAACCATTTTGGTTTATCCTGGCTATCAGTCATAAGGTGGCATACCTCTACAGTTGGAGTAGTGTAACAGCTTGGCTGGACATTTTGAGAGAAAAAGAGTAGCTGGAAGTGTGGTTACTGTTAATCCAAAAGTAAGCAACAACATCTGCTAATGGTAAACAACCTCTCTGAGTTGCATAAGCTATAGTGGAAATTATGGTCTCACAAGTATACCTTGAATTGATTGGCTTTTAGACAGGTCCCATCTAGAATAATGTATTCCATGGGTTTTCAACAGAAAGGTACCACGTGAAGTTCTGTCCTGTTAACAGCCCTTCTGGTGTTCTGCTGAGTTGTCTTGAGTTACACTTCAAATCAGTGATACAGATGGATCCTGACTGATATTTTAGTGTTGGGAGTGGAATGGTAATGTGTCATACTCACTCACCAGTGGCCTCCAGAGTATGCTGACATTTACTATAACTTAAAAAGTACATTAATATTCCCATTGACTGCTTAAAATTAATTACTTTGATGGTTTGTAACTGCACTCAAAATCTTTTGTAATTGTCTCATACATGTAAAGTGTATTTTCTGCTTCTTGAAAGTGCAAGTCCTGCACTTTCAATCAGTCCAAGCACGTAATGCCAAATCAATGTATCCTATTTGTCGAATCCTCTGTGTACTGCATGACTATGGTATATTGTAATAATATATAGTAATAATATATAATTTTATAGCTTTGTAAGCCAACATTAAAATACCTGCAGAACTCAGTTGGTATTATTGAGGGAGACATAAACAAGAAGAGTGTCTAAAGTGTCAGCACAGAAAGGCTACATTACCTCTTGGAGACACTTGAGAGCTTGATGTTTTTATCCTCCTGCTATGTGACTAGATAAATGCTTGTTGTATGACCAAAATGTAGTTCATTGAATAATGAACATCTGGAGGTCATGCAGGCCAAGCTTAATTTCCTTGGGGATATCAGTGTGAAGATTTTTTTCCCTTATCTAATTGGAATTTCCCATGTTGCAGCTTGTGTCTATTGTTTGTAGGCCTTCTGCTGTGTACCTCTGAGAAGTCTGGCTTCATCTTTTCTACAGCCTTCCTTTAGAGTTCAGCAAGGTAATCTTTCCCTTGCCTTCTCTTTTTAAGGCTGACCTAAATCTGCTCACTCAGCTTCTCCCTGTACTTTATGCACCCCAACGCCTTTATCACCTTGGTGGTCTTTGGCTGGATCTGCTCCACTATGTCAGTGTATTTCTTGTATAGGGGAGTCCAAATCTGAATACAGTACTTCAGTTGCAATCTCACAATTGCCAAATAAAAGGGAAGAAACAACTCCCTTGACCTGCTGGTCACACTCTTGCCAATATACCTCTTGCTTATCACCACTCACATGATGGGCCTCAATTAAGGTATCTGCTACAGGCGTCTCAAATGTTTTCAAACAGGCATGCAAAATAATCCTTTTCCCCTTATTCTTACAGCAAAGTACAAAATTGGTGCCATACATTATTAGCAGCTCAAAACAAAAGCATTAGTACTCATATAGCCTTGTTGAAATGCTGTGACAGTATTCACAGAAAAGATTTTAGTGGATAAATCCTGTGAACTTAAACAGTAATATATTTATGTAGTCTTGCACTTCATCACTGCCCTTAAGAGACAAGTCTTTTGAAAAACTGAAGTGGTAAAAGAGCTGATAATACCCTAGGTTTATGTAATGCTTCTTTTCCTTAATATAGTTTCTTTGCAAGCTTCTCAAACATGCTCAAACAGGTGATGTATGTTTTCCCTGTCAGCTCTCCTCCCTAACTAAATAATTTACTTTCTAATGTAATAAATGTCGGGCGTATGCTTCTCAGGATGGATGCTTGAATCTAACATTCCATCAGGCTAGCTTTGATTATAGGGTTTTTTTAATTATGAATCTACAAGGCGGACCTGGCACAATACTGTCATGAAACTAGTATATTAGTTATCTTGAGGTAAATCTCAAAACATACAGTCTAAAAATATACTGAATTACAAGTCTCCTTTATGTTCAACAGATCATGATTTGCTAGTTCTCATTTAAAGATGAAATTGAAATTGGGTGAATATTTCTGTATGTAGGTGCCTAAATATATTAGGACATATATATATATATATATATATATATATATAACATAAATGGACTAATTTTCTGGAGTGTTCACTGAAAGAAACTGTTAAGGTTAAAGGGATCTGAAAATAAGAAACCTTAAGTAAAGGCTCTGCATGGTAATTATTTTTGGAAGTTAGATCACTTCTATGTAGATTTCTATGTTTGAAAATACTGACCCAGGACTTTAAGACATACTAATTAAAACAAATAAACCTGTCTCTATCATCAGTGATAGGTTCTACAGTGTGTTAAAGATTACTACCATTGATGAAAACAGGACACATACTGCTCTCTATATTAAATCTTATGTTGTGCATTAAAAGGTGAAGTTACTGTAGTAAAATTCAGTACTGTGTATGATAAGCATTTTTTAAAATTGCCACCAACTGCTAGGTGTACAAGAGATTTACTCCATTGCTGTTCAAGAACTACTATAGAATAAAAGAAACTCTAGTGTATGCAAGCATGTTGCTTAAAAATACTGTGTAATGTATGTATTACAGTTTACTTGTACAAACAGGTTTTACTGAATATAGTTAGCAATTCCTGTAACACACCAGGCCAATGAGTATCATCCTGTCATCAAACTAAAACAGATGAGATATCTTTTCTGGCCTGGAGGGGCAACTGTTACGATTGCTCTTCATTACAATTTGAATTGCATATAGTACCACCAATGGAAAGAAGAGAAGCTTTGCCTTACCTTATTTTATCTTTGGAAGATCTGTAATTATAAAATGAATGAGACTTTCTCAAATGACTAAGCACTTTTAATGAAAGTTCTGCCATGTCTCTAGTGTCTTTTAATTTTGGCAGGATGAATATATTCGTATTTTTCAGGATATTTCTTGTCTCCAAGCTATAAAAGCATCTGTAAGGCATTCTGTGACAAACTAGTCTTTGCTTTGAAGGGATGCTTATTACAAAAACAAGGAGGGCTTTTTGGCAGAGAAGAATTTAGAATAGTTTTTTTCCCCTATTTGTGAGGGAAAAAAGGAGGGATAAAATATTCACATTTATTTATATTCATGACCATTTAAATTTTATCTGATTCTTATTCCAGTTTGAAAGACTTCTGTTTCAAGCCAGGCAAGTTTTCCTACAGAGATATTTCCAATAAACCCTAAAGTATGCATATACAGACTCCCCCTGTTCCCTTCCATTTTTTAAAATATAAAAAGATAACTTTTTGACTTTAGGTTTGAAATATGTATGTGACAAGTGGAAAACTTTGTTACTTCAACTATCTGGTAGGCTTAGTTGCCTTTGCTGAGCACACGACTTCTATAAATGCTGGTGAATCTAGAATGCACATGGTATAATGGATAATACTGCAAAATGAGATCATATCATACAGTAAAAATTACTGTACACAGAGAAGGGAAGAGGAGCATATGCTTATTTTTGTCACCTTCACCAATGGAACCCTGTACCTGAATTCTGATGTAGAAAATTTAATGTCAGATGAGCTGAACATGTATTTATAGTCTGAAGTTCTAGGACTGACTGCTAAATAAAAATACAACCACTATATATATTAGTATTAAAACCAGAACAAAGAGGATGATGGGTAGAGCAACACATTCCAGGTTTTTTCTTAACTGGCATAATGTAATCTATGACTGATGGACAGTGGCAATAACCTCCTCGGAAACCTAAAATTCTTCCCATATTTAGCATATTGAATATTCTAGTCTTTCTTCCCGTTCTAGCACAGAACTGTTACGTATTTTATGAGTAACCTGCAGTGTAGAACCACGAATGAAGCCTGCATAAGGTGTAGAGCGCTAAACTTTAAGCACTTAAGCAATTAGATGAGTCCACAATCTTAAGACGTTTCCATTCCTTTTTGCATAGGGAGAATTTGGTATCCATGAAGACATTATCTGAGTGCAGCCAAGGAGGAAGCTGCACAGACAGGCTACATTGGCGAAAATGAAAATGCAGAGGACAGAAATGAGTGCTTGTGTGCACTGGTATTGGCATTGGTGTCTCCTTCCGGGACTGTTTATGCATTCTGAAGTAGACAAACTTGGGTAAAAATCAACAGAGGCATTGAGAGCCACATCCAGGACTAGGATTTTTCCTCCACATTACCCAAAGGCACACTTTATTACAATGGCATGACCAGCTCCTTCTGGCCCTGTGAATTTTGTATTGTTAGCTTCATGGCTGCCCAACTTCAATGGAAGACCTCTCCTCTAGTCTGGAGCCAAGGCACTCTCTGGAAAAATGGCTTTGAATCAAACCAAGGAGAACAACTGGCTTCCAGTTACTTAGTATGGTCTCTAACACCTAGATTATTATATAGAAAGTGTAGCACAGGTTTTCTGTCATATGTCTGAACCAAAACAAGTCCGATCTGCTGTCTGATCTCAGTATAAGGTTAGGTATGATCTAAATTCAGAAAATGAGTAAGATCCCGCTGAGGACTTAGGCACAGGAAAAAGTAGTTAATAAACCCAAGTGAAAAAGATGATGGCATCCTTAGCTCTACACAAAAGTTAAACCTAGGTGGTCTAAAACTCTACTATCAAATTTCACGTGTGAATGCTCAAGCAGGCTAGAATATGGTAGACTGTACTGTAGAACTAAGACACCAGTATTTCAACTGGCCTCACCTGAAGTTCCTAAGCCCTTTTGTAGATCCACACCTATATTCACAAACATTGTCACTGGCAGGGAACAGAGTGGTGTCTTGCCGCTCAAAGCACTGTGACTGTGATAGCTACACAGTCTGCTTTAAAGCAGCATTTAATTTCAGTGATTCACAGCCATGGTGTTTATAAAATATAATTCTGATCTCTCTCCCCCTCCTCTCATTTTCCTCTGAAATTGATAAATATTTTATCATGTACGCTATCTGTCATAGACTGCAAAATAATCTCAAAGCAACACCAGATTTGATATCTGTAAATCTCAAATATTCATTTTGTTTAGAAAATTGTTTTGTATACAAGAAGCAATCTAACACTGAGGTAAACTTTATGAAGAAATCATAACACTGTTTTAGCATGTTGCAAATGCTCTGTCAGAGTAACTTGCACTGACTCATGGAAGATCTTTTGTGGATGACTGGTTCCTCATAAAACTTTGGTAACTAGGTCCCAACTGGAACACGAGCAGCACTGTACTCTTCTTCTTGATGATGCACTCTTCTTCTTGATGATGCAGAACATCAAACAAATCCCCTAGACGCTCGCCATTACAGGCTCAGTATCTGTCTGGTGGTGGTCATGGAGACAAAATTGTGGGAACAAAATTGTAGAGCAGAGTCAGTGTGAAAAAGGGTATCTGTATACAAGAAAAATATGTAACTAAGAATGTTTGCTAGTGCATAAGTGTCTTAGATTTCACAGCTTAATTCCTATTTAAAATCTTGCATTGTAAGTGGGTGATTTTCTCCATCCGGTACAGTTATAGATCTTCCCTTAAAGGCTTTTTCCTGTGGCAACTGCATACTGAGTCTCTGTCATCAGGCTGAGGTACAAGTTCCATTCCATCCCGTATTTCAGGTTTGCTGGCTTGCCGTTTGGCATATTTCTGAAATATGTAAACAACATTTAAGAATGCTATAAGCATGAACGTATAATTCATGAAACAGAATTTTCCTCCTCCCTTCCACTCAGAAGCTTACCTTTTTCCAGGCTCCTTATGTCATTGTTGACAACCTGTTTACAAGGTGCCTCTATAACACACCTACTAATGGGCTACATTGCCTCTGAAAACCTCCTTTAATGTTTTCCCCTGTCCTGTTATTAATGGTAATTTGAATACTGTCATTATTTGTGCCTCTAACCACTTCATGCAGATAATGCTGTCATTTTTGTACACTGAACAGTTCCAAACATTGTGTCAACCTGTGGCTGCTGAAGCTGAGATCTAACTCTCAGCACAGCAAAACAGGAAAAAGAAATTAGTACTCTCAGAGAACAGAAGCTTCTTTCACTAGAGATTTGCATCTCCTAGGGAAGCAATTACTGTTTGGCCTGCTTCACCCCTTATCGCTCTACTAGCCATACTGCCAAAATTTCTTTTCTATGTGTTCACTGTTCTGTAATACAGTGGAATAGCTCATGATGGGATAAGTAAGAAGGGAAAAAGGAAGAAAGCTGTGTACAGATTATCTCCTATGTATATAGAAACCACATACCAAGTGACACTCAAAACAGGTCTGACTGCGGATGGAGGCAAAAAAAAATATTAATCTGTGATTCTGTAAAACAACTATTATGTCAGGTTGCCTTTTTCATGAAGTAAGTTTTAGCAAAGCTCTTCACACTGATCTGTGAGTAATAAGAACTGAGTCTGCTATTGAAATAAGTAAGGACTGAATATGAAATATGTAGCATTGATAGCAGTAGCAGTTGGAAAGTAATAAGTGATCTATTGTACTAACCTGGAGCACTTTATAATAGTAGCAGTAAAGCCTGTGAGGCTGAAGTAATTCTCTTGCCATTAACTGTCCTTCTTTAGCAATTTTTCTTGCTTTTTCATCATTTTCCTGGAAAATTGAGATGAAACAAATGAAAGTTACTCAAAACCTGGCTGGTATCAGAAGTTTTGATATTAAAGGGGCTATTCAAATCTGTAACTTTATGTGCAATTACTGGTAGTCTGCAAAGGCATACTTTGAATTGTAGGATTTTTTAAGCTACTGGATTGCTTTTATGGTCACAACTGGTACCTTAGGGCTATCAATAACAACTTTCATGAACAACTGTACAATTTTGAAAACTCGGTTGATTACTGCTCTACTGTTTTGTCCAAGCCAGAAGCCTCTTCAAAATCAGGTCTGACATCTCCCAGACGTACTTAATTTTACAGAAGACAAAGCCACAACTGTTGTTCTCTGATATGCAATGCAACTCAATGTCTTCCTTTTAAAAATAACTGCTTGAATTCATGAACTTACTGTCAAGTTTTTTACGTCTATATTTCAAAGCTTTTAGTATTCTCATCTGATTCTGTAGGAAGAATTACAGTACTCTCAGAATAGAAACTTTTCCTATGTTTTTTAACTTAATAGCTAAACTTAAAGCACAAATGGTGTTTTCAGTCACACAATTATATCGGTTTGTTTGGTTACAGAATCCCAGCCTCTCATTCTGAGCATGTTACAGAGGAGCAATTTTTTGTACATTCAAACAGAATATGTAATGACTTCTGTTCTAGTCAGGACCTAAAGAAACCAACTATTAACTAGTATCTAGGATTCTGTATGTTTCTTTGAATATTACCTGCATTAGTCAGTATTCTAAGGCTCTGACTCATGAAACACTTCTGCACATACCTAAAATGCACTCTTAAGTATTTCCTTGAATAGAGACGGTTACTTGAATTAAGGCCTCCCATCTTACACTGACAACAAAATGTACTTCCTTTATCCCAGGATCTCAACAGAGTTCATGCAAAATATGTACGTGGAAATACAAAAAGAAGAGAGTATTAAGATATATTGTTTAAATGTTTATCACTTTGAACTTGAATTAGTAACAGAACTTACCTTAGCCCATTTTATTTTCTCTAGCAAGTCATCTAAGTTTCTCTTAACTGGAACATAATGTTTCCAAGGTTTTAATCCAATATAAAAGTGTTCGTAGTACTGGGAATCTTGCTTCAGTACTAGGCTGTCACCCAACAAGAGGTATGGAAACCTGTAAGCTGCTACAGTCCCATCTACATTCACTTGGTATTTGTACTACAATATGAAGGAAAAAAAGATGAAATGTTTTGAATTGCAATAGGAATACTAACTGTATAAAAGATTATTTTCATTATCATTATCAATTCTCATCTTCAAACCTTTTTCTAGTGTTAAGCAGGTGTAGTTTCACGGTGTTCTGGATAACATAATGGAAAAAAGATTTGTTTTCAACCCCAGACTGACAGTCAGGAGCATTCGTGTCACATGAACTGGCTGATGTCACTTCTATTAAAGTGTCCTGGGACAGAGGAAGGGGTAGAGCTGGGAAGGAAATAAAACTAATCTATACTTAAATTCAAAAAGTGTAAATTTATTCTGACAAAATTGTATTATTATTATGTAGAATAATCTGAAACATTATACTAAAAGTAATCATGAATGTACTGCTATGGCAGATGCTCTTGACTGTTACAGCATTTCTGATATATTAATCTCTGTAACAGAACTTCAATTGTCATATATTGTAATTGGTTTTTACAGGACTCTATCCCCTTTACTTTTTATACCTCTGTTGCAGTGAAATTCGTGTGTTAAACCGCAACAAAAACACCCATCTATTTTTCTAACTTCTTACTTCAAGGACTCCTTCTGACATCCATAATGTACTTGCAATAGACACAAGTTGTGTCCATTGTTTTCATATTTATCTCAAATAAAAGAAACCCTGATAGTGAGAAATGAAATTTCTCAATCTATTTAAAAACAAAAAAATCTCCAAGAACTCTCTCTAAGGGTCTCCATGAAAAAAGTATAGTGGCTTTCTTTAGAAGTGTGTCACACTATGACTTTGATTAGAGATGGTCTGTCTACCCCACCTGAACCAGTGTTCCCAGTGCAGCAGAACTGGTTTTTTTACTGAATGGAATTAGCAAAAGTAAGCTTTGTCTTTTCAGTTGGTAAGAACTTGACAGCAAAATTAATCCAAGACTGTAATTTGCTTGCTACCTTAAAGAAGTCAAAGAAGCCCATCAGCTGAACCTTTCCCAGCTCTTTTTCTTTTTCTCTGAAGAAGAAATATCCTGTTATTCCAGCATCTAGTAGTTCTGGATTTTCCTTGGATAACTTTACAAGATGGAGACGTTCTTCTCGGCTGTCTCGACCTCTAAATAAAGCTCGCTCGGTTTTGTTTTCCCAGAATGGGCCTACCAGTGATAAGGTAAAAGCAAACAGTAATGAAATGTTCATGATATGTTTAGTGCAAAGGAAGAACTTGCTACGACAGTGGCACTGCACTCAGAGACATGGTAAAACAGACATGATTTCTCGTAGTGACTCCATAATCACTTACTAATGACAGGGTTTAAACTCCCAGTTCTGGCTTGAATTTTGGGATGAAAAACTGAGTCACTTATAAAGGGAAAATCAAAGAATTGCTTTTCTACTCAAGAATTTTATATTTAAATAACTTGAAATATCTTGAAAGCTACATCAGGGATTATAATCAATTTCTGTAAGTAAAATACTAATAATTAGAGTAATTCTTCATCCATAAATCCTGCCACAATAACCAACAATTTTTAGTAAAATCCACTTCTGTACCCAGAAATTTAGTTAGGTCTTTGAGGAATCACTTACGATGACTTAAAAAGGAAAAAAAATGGCTATACTGTGTCCTCAAGACACTTTGGAAGAGTCTGATCTCTGCTTACTGCCTGCTTTTAAAAACATTAAGTATGTCCCTCCTCATTCTTCTGCTGGGAGTTTCCTTGAAGGATCTACTAGAGTGGAGTAGGCTCTTACTGTCTCGTAACTGGAAAAGCAACTATACTAAATCAGTAAGCACAGTGCTTCAAACGGATGATTTAATTAAAATATTTAATTTAAAAACTAATAAAGGAAAGAGAAACTGTGAACTATTCAAATAAAAAGAAATACCTCCTCACTCAAGTTTTACTCCTTAGGTATTGTTTATGCCATTTGTCTGATCCTTAAGTATTCATGAATTTCTGTGGGGGGTAGGAAGACGCCTCTCAGTAAAACTTCCTTCAAAGCTAGAAAAACGATTCAGAAGATCCCACTCTCAGGTATTTTTTTATGCAGCAGTATTTTCTTATTTGAAAGAGGCTGCAGCGTAATACCAGTTTACTTCTTTCAGGACTCAAATACATTTTTATGTAAATAGAACGTTGGGCCACACCACCATCAGGAAACAGATTACTATTTGATTAGAAAGAACATATTCAAGTCTTTTACTGAGGAGAAAGACCTTTTAATTATATTTGCTTTTCTTTTGACAGGTCACAATAGATATCTTCTGGGTATCTTTGTTAAAATTCACCATTATTGTAAACAGGACTTCATAATTTTGGCTCTAAATCCATATTAAGCACCTGCTTAGTAGCAGTGTTGAAAAGTGTTTACAATCCATAAAGATTAACCTGCTTGTATTAAGAGACCTCCTAAGGCACTTGTGAACTGAAGACCTGAACACATCAGTTGAATGCAACATGCTTCTTTGATGGAATTTACAAATTCTTGTTTAAAATCCATGATCTCTAATTTACCTGTATTTCCTTGAATAGAAAGGAGATCATTTGTGACTCCACGTAGTGTTTCAAGAGTTGAGTGGGTTACATCATACGTTGGAAGGACTATATCTCTTGAATCCACAGAGCCACACCATGAAATGACAGGTATGGGACCAGGTGTATCATTAGCTTTCCGATACTCAACTGGCCAATCTCCAACATTAAGATAAAACTCCACATCAGGAAGACGAACCTAAACGCATATGCAAGAAAGGACAATAATATAAAGATAGAAGCTGTTTGTCACTCTTAGATACATTCCTCAGTTCTTTTATGTCATGCAGATTCAATAAATCTACTACATAGTTAACAAATTTAGCTGAGCTTAAGGTACGAATTTCAAATTTCTGCCCCACAAGCAAGTACGAAAGGGACACACACAGAGGCCAGGGAAAAGCTCGCAGACTCGGGCCTTAGCCCCTCCTAGCAATTTCATTACTATCAAGCTCAGTCCCTAAGATACACTGTCATCTTGATGAAAAACCAAAAGTCAGGTCTTACTTCAAGAATTAGAAATCTGAAGATACACCACCAAATGAAGTATTGCCATATTAGAATAGGACTTAATAGTCTTAAATGATCAAAATTGATACCTTTCTTGCCAGTGACAGGAACATTTCATCAGAGAACATTTTGAAGTCTGTATACTTCCCTAATGAGCGACGGTAGATGAGATTATTGAGAATTGTGTAATGAACAATAGCACCTCTTGTTTGACTGAACTTTGTTGGGATTTCCTTAAGCATTCGCTGAAGGTCAATGGTGGGAAAAGAAATGAAGTCCTTTGTAATCTGAGGTTCTTGGGATGGACAAGACATAACGTTCTGCCAGATCTCAGGGTCTTCTTCAGGACAGTCACAATACTCATGATAAACTGGCCCTGCGGAAAACAAAGCACTGAGAGTCTGTATCTGTGAGTCTACATCAATCTTAATTCCCCAAACACACTGGTATATAAAAGTAGACATTATGGTGCCTTGACATTTTTTATTCCAAGTTTTCTAAAATTTTCCTGGCAAATCATCCTCCCTACAACATTTCTGGGGTTTAGCAATGTAATTAAGAAAACAGAAACATTCTTCTATTTTCAGAAATCAAAATACTAGATTTTTTTGTTATCAGGGCAAAATTCATCTGCAAAATGAAGCTCCATTATTGTGCTACCTGCCTACCTCATAGGGTATTCAGAATTCTTCCAACTGTCTGTAACTACCAACGCGCAGGTATTACAGTTTCAATTTTAGTCTGATTCAGAACTTTGATACAGTAGTCTTTACCTCTGGCTTAAGGTGTTTTCTTTTATGTAGAATCAACTATTCTTTCTGTCCTTTCGAAGCAGAGAGATTAAGTATAAGCAAGAGCCTCATTTCGTGGACTTCTAATCAAAACAGGTTCTGTCCTGTGTTGTGTCATAGTTTCATGGCTGCTGGCAAATGTGCACCAGGAAAAATAAGGCATACTACTATTTGAGGACTCATTTCTCATACGACTACTTGAGGACTCAAGTTTGAAAACACTTCTAACTTTATATTTATGAAATTTTATTTAAAAAACCATGACCAGATTCTAGTTAGAAGAAGCAGTAGCAATCTGAAACAAGAGTCTTCAGAGAAATAACTTTATATTATCTTTTTCTTTGCTAAACAGCTGTCCATTAGAGAGCAAGTAAAGGAAGTTAGGTAATCAGATCTGGAATGAGAGAATAATTTGCCTTGTTTTCCCTGCTTTTAAATAGTTTTTCCATAGTATAGACCTGCACTGAATTAAACTGAGCTAATGGAAAGGAAGTTAAATACTGTCTGGTTAAAGAAATACTGTATTTGTTGTTATGAAGGATCACACTTTTTGGAAATCACAGACATTTGAACTATAAAGTGTTGGGAACAACACAAACTCCTTGCTTTTGTAGGTAGTATTTTTCTCCTTTAGATAAAAATAACACAATCTTTAAGTGAATACCTGCTTGAAAACAGTAAAAATACAAACACTACTCTCTTATTCCCTACCAAATCTGAAGAGATCCATTTCCTTATGCAAGAGGGAAGAGGAGTTGTCCAGACACATCACCTTAATGTTGGAGGCCATAATCTACATGCTTATGCATCTAGGTCCTGTAACTTGGCAATGTACAGAGATTGTCATCACTTACTTCTTTGTATAAGGAGAACATTTGTGAGGAGACTACAAGAGCAAAGGCAAACAAACCTCTAATTTCCCACCTCTTCCTCTAGCAGTAAATTAGCCACAGCATTTCTATAGCTACCCTCATACATTGCATTAAATAAAAAAAATGCCCCTACCTTTCAGAATATAAGGAGATTGAGCCACATGCTGATCACCATAAAGTATCTCAATTTTTAACCCTTTTCTGACACTGCCATACATCCGATACCGCATGAGAAATGTGCCATCATTTCTATCCAAAGGGCGAGGGGTGTAAATTCTAGTGACTTCTTTTGGAGAAAGTGCTTTAATTACCACTTTAAACTGTGTTCTTCCTGAAAAGAGGAAAATAAAACCAGATAAAAGCATTTTAAGCTACTAGAATCACATATATGAAAAAAAAGGTGAGAGCAAACTCTACTGAATTAAGTCCATCGAATTGAATTTAACTTTGCACTAGAAATTTTTTTATTGTACCAACTTGGTAAAAAAAATTTCCAGTAATGGAAGATCATCCTACCAAATTTGCTTGATCATTACATATCTAATAAATGGAAAACCTATAGATGGAGATAAATAATGATTGCAAGATAGAAAGAAAGGCTAACAGTATTCTGAAGCAAAGATTAGGTTTAATGCTAAGTTTTCAAGTTAGTGCTCTGAGGAACAATAATTTCCTCTAGTGTAAGAAAGATAGGAAACCAAGTTAAAATAACAGGAGAAAAGAATACTTGCCAGTTTGTGGAAAGGCAGTTGCAGCATGCAGGAGTCAGATACAAATTGTTCACCTTTGGGCTGCAGCTGACTGTCTTGCAAATTTAAAGTCCCAGCTACTGAAAAGCAGGGATAAGAGAATGATAGAGATGTTTCCTGGACATCTGTCTGACCTGTGCTTAAAGATCACCAGCATTTCATCATTAATGCACTGTGACTTTTTAAGTGGGCATGGAGTATTTTGTGGACAACACAAGTATGCACAAACATAAATCTGTTATATTCCCTTATTTCTCTCACAAATGGTCATCATTAATTTTATTCTTCCAAAAAGAGGGGGACAGATGTTATAGTCTAAGCATTGCAAACCAAACAAATGTAATGAACGTTACCACAAAGCAGTATACAGAAAGAAAGGAAACTGAAAAAAATCTAGATGAAATCAAAATGTTACTAACAGTCCAATGTGTCCTGACAGCACTAAATAATAGAGATGTTACAGTTAATTCTATACAATCCATATTTTAACATCCTTTGCATCTACAAATAAATGCGCTGATGTGGTAAGTACAACAGTCATTTAATGATCACTCATGTCTTCCTCAGAACACTGGATCTTGAAATTGGATTCAAGTCAACTACTGTGCAAGAGTCACCAGATTAAATCAGACAGAACCCTTATGATTTCAGATGTTTATTTCCTGACATGTTGTGCTTCTTGCCATGGTTTAACCCAGCTGGGAGCCAAACACCAGGGAACTGGTTTCCTCATTGTGTTGGGTTTGTACGTGTCAGGGTTTTGGTAGCAGGGAGGGGGCTACATATGTGGCTCCTGTGAGAAGCTTCTTGAAGCTCCACCGGCTCTGAGTTGGACCTGCCCTTGGCCAAGGCTGAGATGACTAGTGATGGTGGCTGCGCCTCTGTGATAACATATTTAAGAAGGGGAACCTGAGAGGAGAAGGAGTTGTGAGGGAGATGCCTATGCAAACACCAAGGTCAGTGGAAGAAAGGCGAAGGAGGTGTGCCAGAGCAGAGACTCCCCTGCAGCCCGTGGTGAGAGGGCAGGCTGTGCCCCTGCAGCACATGGGGGTCGCCAGTGGAGCAGATGCCCACCTGCAGCCTGTGGAGGACCCTACGCCAGGGCAGGTGGCTGTGCCTGACGAAGGCCATGAGCGTAGAAAGCCCATGGTGGAGCAGTTTGTTGCTGGGAGGACTGTAGCCCGCTGCAGGCACCCCACACTGGAGCAGTCTGTGAAAAGCTGCAGCCTGTGGGGAGTTCTCACATCAGAGGAGTTCATGGAGGACTGTCTCCTGTGAAAGGAACACCATCCTGAAGCAGGGAAGGAGTGTGAGGAGTCCTCCCCATGAGGAGGAAGGAGTGGCAAAGACAATGGATGATGAACTGACCACAACCACCACCCCCTGCTTCCCCTGAGCTGTTGAGGTAGAGAAACTGGGAATGAAGTTGAGCCCAGGAAGAAGGGAGGGGTGGGGAGAAAGTGGTTTTAAGCTGTAGTGGTATTTCTCACTGTCTTACCCTGACTGGAAAATTAAGTGTTGGTGGTATTCAAATTAAATTGATCTTTTTCTTCCCCTAAGAGTCTGTCTTTTGCCTGTGACCATTATGGGTGGATCATTGCTCTCTGTCCTTGTCTCAGTCCCCGAACCTTTTGTTTTACTTTATTTTCTCCTCCCCAACCCTGAGGGGGAAGAAGTGAGTGAGCTGCTGCACAGTGCTCATTTGCCCTCTGGTCTCATAAATGGTCTGCATGAGGACAGTGTAGAGCTGTAATCCAAATAAGAGGAAAGATACATTTCTTCAAAGGTGAGTAACAATTTCTGTTCTTCATTCAACTAAATACTACCAGATGTCTTAATGCAGGAATGAGTCCCCTCTTTTTGAATTAGGCAACGGATCCCATGAATGACTCTCCCGAAGGAATGGACATCTCTGCCTCTCAATGTCACTGCCAGCCACAACCACCTTTTTCAAATTGCTTAAAAATAGCCAACTTAAGCCAAGCATCCTCTCCCTATGACCAGCACCTGGTATTATTTCGATGAAGTAGCATTCGACTCCAGAGTATGTCATGAAGTAGAATTGCAGAGAAAATAGTTTTCTGTTGGTATTACATCTTTGTCTCTTTCTACCCATTTTATAAAACAGCATTTTAACTGGGTATAGAGATTTCCTACCAGAGAAAACAAAGTTTTCAGTTACCATAAAAATGAGTGAATATTGAGAAATCACAAGTCAAATACTACTGAATTTGATCTCCTTGTCCTCACCTACAGAAAATAACTAAGTGGGTGTTTGTTCCCAGCTGGTTATGTACTTACTGCTATAGAGATATGAGAAGCTCTGGATCCACCCAAAGGATATGTTAGTTTTAGTTGGTGGCAGTATAGATGCAGGAGGCATTTGATAAGGGAAGAATGACCTGGTAACAAAACTCTCTGGAAAAAAGCTAACCCTGCTAAAAGAGAGGGAGAAGGGAGGCTAATATTTAATGCAAGTACAAATTACTCATTGGAGGCAACAGAATTTTTATGATTTAAAACATTCATTGCATAATGGGGCCAGGGCCTGTAAGTACTACTACAGTATTTAATTGTAACAGTTTTTGCTGATTCCTTTTTTTTTAAATTGGAGGAAGGTTACCATGGTACTTCCACTCACATTTTTCTGTTTCTCTCCGTTTCTTATCAAAGAAATGATAAAAGAAAAATGTGTCCTTGTTGAATCCTTACTACAAGCACTCTGTGTTACCCTGAAAACCTGTCTGGGACAGTGTTTCAAGTACAAAATAATTTTCCAGTTCTGAAGAGAGACTAAAATAGAGACACAGTCAAAATGGGACACTTTAAGAAATCCAGATGATGAAACTTGGTTTATTCATTTTCTTTTTTCTTGTGTAGCTTGCAAAAGAGATATTCCATGCATGGATGAATGAGTGAAGAAATGCAGGGATGGAAAGATAGAAAAGGTAACAAGGTACTGATTTATGCAAATTGCTAGAGATGAACAAAAAACCCAGTCACCCTATTTCTGACATGTATGGAGAAGAACAACTAAAAAATCTGAAAAGAAGGGTTTTTTTCCCTCAACTGTTTTACTGAAATCATTGCGGGTTACTTTCACAGGTGGAAATTGTGAAATCAGTAGAGTCAATGAAGAGGCAACTGGACAAAACAGGTTCACTTAGCAAAATGGGCTCCTTTGAACTACTTTAACAGAGTCGGATGTGAGGGCATATATCCAGGAACAAAGAAATACAGGTCATGGTAGGAAGTTTTGTGTGTGAGCACCACAAAAGCCCAGGCATCATGGTCAACAAAAGCCCTGAAGGGAGGTCCTGCAGTGCTGCAGGTACAAAGGTGAGCGTGACCAAGATGCACTCTGTTTAGCGACACTGAAATGAGTGCTGGAAGAAGTGTGCCACTTCAATAGTATTTGGTAAAACCTGCGAGAATATCTGGGATGCTTTGAAAATATTTGTTATCAGAGTACACTGATCATCTGAAGAATAGTTAACAGCTGACTGTCATAGAGACATGGTGAGCAGTTGTAAAACCTAGGGGAAAGCCTAGCAGAAAAGGTAAGGTGATCCAAGTATCCAAAGAAAAAATCTATGCTGTTTATATTAAAAGTTCTGTGTTTTCAGAAGTGATTTTTTAATCTTTGGAATAATTTTTCTAGGGAAAGAGTGAATTCCACATCGACATTTTCCTAAAAAGATGGGCCAAAGAATTACATACAGCCTGTAGGTTGAAATTACCGTGTGATGTGCAATGGTGCACATTAAATCTGACAAATCTAGACTTGACAATCAGAAAACTCATCTGGATTTAAAATCAACTATTTATCCTATATAAGTTTCAATCTGGATACCAGTAACTACTGACCTAATCCTCACAAAACACAATTTAATAGATGTGGACAAATTTTACCAAAGAGGAAGCCTTAACTGCAGCTCTCCTGCTTTGATGGCAGTATTCTTGTTTGTGCAATGGAGTTGATAATGTGGATTTATTTAGCTATCCCAGCAGGGCTATTCTGAGGTGTATTTAAGTTTATATTGGAAAGCACTGCCTTAATATTATGAATTGCAATTCTTACTGACACTTTACAAATAGAATTTTAGCATTTACAATAATTTGAGAACTGAAATTTATAGCCTGTGTCCATACATTAAACAGTGCTCATGCACTGGAATATGATCAACTGTACTGCTAAATTGTTAAAGGATCCTTGGCACTCTATTAAATAATTCTTGGCACAGCTCAGCAGTTAGCGTGGGCTGAACCAACAGCTCTTCCCTGTCGGCAGCATGCGTGCATCGCCTTGGTTTGGAGGCTACAGAATGTCATGGAATGAATGGAGACCGCTCCATGACAGATGGCATCATAACCTGGGAACATTCCAAAGAAACTTCATTTATTATTATAAATACTAACGCACTGAGGTCAAAACTAGGTTCTCCATACCCACATCCCATCAGCTTATCTTGGGAGGATTTAAACTAGCATGAGAATCCAATGAGCTTCACACCTTTTTACCTTTAGTGACTGTTGTTTGAACCCAAGGCTCTCCCTGTGTAGCTGAAATCAGCCTCTGTTTCGCTGGCAGTGAGTGTGCAGTTGCATTCCTCAGTGCAATTACAAAACTGTGCTGCAATCTAGCACCAAGTTGCAACAGCAGCTGGAGAAAGTCCAGACTTGAAGCATCTGGGGTTCTGTCAGACTGAAGACATAACCGTATAATACATGTCTACTCTTTAATTTTACAAGCAGCAGCCTTCTAACTACAGGACACAAAGAGGCCATGCATACTTGGTAGATATCCTCTCAGTACCATCTATATGAATAGTAATAATACATAGCAAAATAACTAGCTCTACCCTGTACGAAATAGAAACAGGATGCCTACTGGGTGGCTATCTCAGGGTTATCTTCATTATGAAATCTGTGACACAAAAGTTATTTTTATTCTAAATGAAAACTATTAATACAGAGCGTGTGGAATTAGCTTGCAGCAGAAAACAGCTGACTGGCAGCATACCGCTGGACTGCGAGAATAAACCCCAATTCCCACCCTCAGGAGAAGTGTCACGGGATGGTTTGCGTGTGTGCAGTGTAAACAAGAAATGAAAATTACGCCTTAACGGAGCAGCAGTAGGGTAACGGGGCCCAGAGGGCCGTGCTTACTGAGACAGAAATTGTGAGCAACTGGTGTGCGTGCAGCGTTAAAGATAATTACATTAGCCGTTCTGAGCAGGGTACTGGGATTTCTTTACATCCACTACCTCGAGTAGCACCGCTTTATTTTGAGCTTCCTGGTTTGTCGCTGTAGATCACATACTGTTCAGGGGGGCGATGGGCGAGACGCAGAGCTCGGCGGAGGCGTCCCCCGGCTGTACCAGGGGCCAGGAGCGGTTTGACCATGTGCGCCGCTCGCCACCGGACCGGCGTGTCCCGGGCGATGCGGGAGGGCGGCGGCACAGCGCCCGCTCGGGAAGGAGGGAGCAAGGGAGAGGGCAAGAGGGGAAGGGGTGGGCAGCTCCGACCAGCTCCTCCGCGGACACGGCAGCCCCGGGCAGGGTGTCCACCCCGCGCCCCCCCGCCCAGCAGCACACACATGCACGGTACCTGGCGGGGAGCGGGAGAAGTTGTGTCCGGCCGCGCTGACCGCCTGGATGTGGAAGTACCGCACGGG